ATCAATCCCTTTTAAATGCAAATATCACCCTGTGACCCCTCCCCTGCCCTGCTGAAAACCCTCAATGACTTATAGTTTTAGGAATTAATTCCAGACTTAGCAGCCAGCTGAGACCCCAGTCCCCTGCTCCGCCCACCCCCACTGTTCCCTGCTCCTTCCCCATGCTGAGCTGCCTTGGTCTCCCTCCTTTCTGGAAAGACTGGCCGTATTGCCACTGTGTCTGACTTCCCCTCTTTGTGGCTTGGGGCACCCAGACATCACAGCCAGCCGCTTCCAACTGCCTTGCCTGTGACTTCCTTTGGATTAACCTGATCCATTGCAGTGCCATGTTCTAGGTCCTCTTTAAACCCAAAGTGGACTTTTTTGTTTATTTATTTATTTGTTAATGAATCACTGTGAGGTACAGGTACAGACTTACAAACTTTCATGATTACATTTCTGTCATACAATGAACGAGTATCCATCCCTCCACCAGTGCCCATTCTCCAACACCAATGGTCCCAGTATCCCTCCCACCACCACCCCGAACCCTATCACCCACCCAACCTCTGTGGCAGCCTATTCCCTCTTACTCTCTTTCCCTTTGGGTATACTATTTGCATTAAGTGGCCATCATGATATAGTCTACTCTCAGCACACATCTCTCATCCCAAGCGAGCCCTCCAAACATCCTTTACTTGGTGGTCCCTTCTCTATCCCAGCTGCCTTTCCCCCCACCACATGAGGCCAGCTTTCAAGCCGTGGAGTGATCCTCCTGGCCCTTATCTCTACTGTTCTTGATTTTTTCATTTGTTTTTTCTTTTTGGCTTTTTGGGTCTTACCCGGCAATCCACAGGGGTTACTCCTGGCTTTTGCACTCAGGAATTACTCCTGGCAGTGCTCAGGGGACCATATGGGATGCTGGGGATCGAACCTGGGTCGGCAGTGTGCAAAGCAAACGCCCTACCCGCTGTACTATCGCTCCAGCCCCGAGTTTTTGGGTTTTAAAGGAGGAACGAACAGGCTGGAGAGAAACCTCAGTTGTCTGGAATGAGCTCATGCTTGGTACACGGGTGGCCCAGGTTGGTCCCTGGTACCCACCATGTGTGTGTCCCTAAGCCGTGTTGGGAGTGACACCCAGACGCAGAGCCAGCAGTAACTGGGAGCAATGCTCAGGTACTGGCACTGCTGGTTTCCCCCGGATCCTCCTCCGTCCTCCATCCCGTGAGGACTCCTGTGGCCACATCACACCCACCTGCTCGTCCAGGATCGCCCCGTCTCAAGGTCTTTATGCATGACCACCAGGTCCCCCGGCTGTGTTGGGAGGAGGATATATTTGGAAGCTGTTCCTCAGCCTGTACCGTGTGTGCTGTCCTGAACCCCAGCCCCTATGTCTGAACAAGGACAGGAACCACCCAAGGGCGGCTGCGGCGGGTTCTGAGAGGCGCCCTGTGCCTGGTCTGGAGGCTGGGGGCACCATCAGGGCCACATGGCCCCTCACTGCTCAGCTCAGGAGCCTGAAGAAGACACAGCTCCTTCCCCTACCCAGGTGCCACGACCTCTCCCCTTCCTCTGGGTGCAAATGTTTCTACCAGGGAAACTGGGCAGCAAGTTGTTTTATTCTGCTACTGTTGTGCATTTCTTCCCTCCTCCTTTCCCCTCCCCATCCCTCCCCTCCCCATCCCTCCCCTCCCCTCCCCTTCCCTTCCTTTCTCTTCCTTACCTTCCCTTACCTTTCCCCTCCCTCCCTCCCTCCCTCCCTCCCTCCCTCCCTCCCTCCCTCCCTCCCTCCCTCTCTCCCTCCCTCCCTCCTTTCCTCCTGACCTACCTCCCTCCTTCCCTCCTTTCCTCCTGCCCTCCCTCCCTCCCTCCCTCCCTCCCTCCCTCCCCATTTGGGGCTGTACTCAATGGCATTCAGAGTCTCTTCCTATCTCGGTGTGTGGGAGTGACCCCTGGCAGTGACTGGGGAGCCCATTATGGTGCTGGGGTTGATCTGGAGATCAGTGTGTGCTCGCAACTCCCTTTCCCCTGTGCCATCTTACTAGCCCCAGTGCCAGCACATTCTCTTTCTGTATTCCGGCCTTTTGCTTGTCATGGGTTTGTCCCATTCCAACCCACTCATAATTTTTTTGTCTTTTTAAAAACATTAAATAAAATTTTAATTAAATTACTGTAAGATATAGTTACAAGGGTTGGAGCAATAGCACAGTGGGTAGGGCGCTTGCCTTACACACAGCCGACCCGGGCTGACTTGGGTTCGATTCCTCTGTCCCTCTCGGAGAGCAAGCTACCAAGAGTATCATGTCCACACGGCAAAGCCTGGCAAGCTACCTGTGCCGTATTCGATATGCCAAAAACAGTAACAACAAGTCCTGTTACTGGTGTCCACTTGAGCAAATTGATGAACAATGGGAGGACAGTGCTACAGTGATAGTTACAAAGCTTTCATGATCGGTTCCAGTCATGCAATGTTCCAACAACCATACCTCCACCAGTATACATTTTCCACAACCAGTATGCCCCGTAACCCCCCCCCCCAGCCTTCCTCTATAGCAGTCCCTCCTCCTCCTCCTCCTCTTCCTCTTCCTCCTCCTCCTCTTTATTTTTCCCCCAACAGCTTAATAGTATTTCATTTTGTAGCAGTACCATAGTTTCTTTAACCAGGTACTCGGGTTGTTTCCAGATTCTGACTGTTGTGAACAGTGCTGCAATGAACATACAAGTGCAGATGTAATTTCTGCAGAGAGTTTTTGTACCCCAGGGCTGTATTTCCGGTAGTGGTATTGCTGGGTCATATGGAAGCTCAATTTCTAGTTTCTTGAGGAATGCCCGTATTGTTTACCAAAAAGACTGGATCAGTCAGCATTCCTACCAACAATGAATGAGAGTCCCTTTCTCCTTGCATCCATGCGAGTACTGGTTGTTCTTACTCTTTTTGATGTGTGCCGGTCTCTCCCACCCATCTTTTTTTCTTTTTGAGTCATACCCAGGGGTTGCTCCTGGCTCTGTACTCAGGAATTATAGTGGTGCTTGGGGGACCATATGGGATGACAGAACCTGGGTCGCCTCATGCAAGGCAAACACCCTACCTGCTGTACTATTGTTCCAGTCCCCCATTCATCTTTTTAACCATCCTCACTTGCTTACCCTTTTTTTCTGTCTCTAGTTCATACTCCCGCCACCTCTTCAGTGTTCTTAAATTACATTAGATTTCATCTGTTTGCTTTGTTTTTCAAAATATGGTCGTCTGTGAGCAAGTTATTCCTGAAGCCTGCAAATCTATCTTTTCCATTCCTCTTGGACTTCTTAGTTTAAAATTTTATTTCCCGATTTGTAGCTTGCACAGTTTTCTTTATCATCAAATTGGAAGTAATTTTTCTTGTTTTGCTGGTGTGCCTTATCCTTTGGCTGGATGTTGGCCATTATCAGTAGCACAGTTTTCACTCTCCTTTTAACTTTTTAACATCCCTGGTTTAATCTCTGTTTATATTTTTCTTAATACAAGAGATTTCTCAAGGGAACCAACTGTGTTTAAGACTTTGACTTGATTTTGTTGGGGTTTGAAAGCTTATGAATACAAGATTTTGTTTGCTTTGTGTTTTTAAAAAAACATTTTCAGGTGGAGCCAGAGAGCAGGTCACTTGCCTTGCATGTGGCAGACCCTGCTTCCGTCCCCAGCACTGGTTCCCTGAATATCACCAGGAGCGATTCCTGTGCACAGAGCCAAGATCTCCTGAGTACTTCCAGGTCTGGCCTCAAAGTCAGAATATAAATACATATTTTTTCAAGTGTTTTTTCACTCTTAATGAGGTGTCACATACTGCAGATCATCTAAAGAAAGGGAATTTTGCTAATTTAAGCTGAGTTTTTAGTCCACACTACAACATTCCAATCATTAAAAAAGGAACTCTGACTGCATGGTGATGTTATAAGATTAATGTAGTGAGCGCTGATGTCTGCCTGATTTATCTGCCTAATTTATCTTTAGGGTCCCATGATGGCCCAGCCCCAGTGTCTGGGATATTAGCAAATATTCGCATGAATGGATTTGAGAATAAATAAATGATAGGCTATCAGAATGGTTCTTCTCAAAAATAATAAATATATCTTTGATATACAGCTGACTAGTTCATTGAGAGCATTGAACCAGAGGCTTAAGTGAACTGGTATATTTTTTAAATGTGATGTTTTGGCTCCAAATGGTCCTTTGTAGAATACTTGATGAATTAGGATGCTAATAAGTGTGAATGTTTTTCATTGTTCATCTGTCCTAGCTGCTTCCTTACTTACAATCTCAATTTTTAGAAAAGCAGATTTAAAAAAGGAACATCTAATTAGACTGTTAGTCTGACATGACTCTGGTAGGATTAATAATTTATATCTTTAAAGGTGTTCACTGAACTGTGTACATTCAAGATAATGGTGGTCTGCCTAAATAGTTATGAATGGATAAATGCAGAAAACATAATATGAACATTAATTTATATAGCTGTTATATAGTGATAAATGTCTATATTAAACAGTTGCATACATATTAAGCTAAATATCTTTTTTTAAATCTGTGTTAAGCGTTAAATGGTTCTACATTTCATGTGTTAAGTGATATGTAGTTCTATAAGAAACAAAGGACATGTTTCTCTTTTTGGAAGTAAAATTATTTTATTGAGAGAAATTTACTTATAGAAATGTGAAGAGAAAGAGAAGAAAGAGACAGAGAGAGAGAGAGAGAGAGAGAGAGAGAGAGAGAGAGACATACATGTCCCAGAGAGAACATAGCCTTCTCCAAAGGGGAAAAAGCTGGAAATATTCCATTTTTCTTCTTTCTGGGTCTTTGAAGAACAGTGAGTGGTAATCATCTCACTTTGATTTTGTTTTATTGTGAAAATGCCTGATTTATTTATCTCCTGTATTTCACCTTTCCAGCCCTTTACTTCTCAGCATCCTCCCTTTCCTTATTTGGAGTCTGTCCCTGGTTCAAAGTTCACAGTGATCGACAATGTCTTTCTCATGATCTATTTCAGAATGGCTTCACTCCTTTATACATGGCAGCCCAAGAGAACCACATTGATGTTGTCAAATATTTATTGGAAAATGGAGCTAATCAGAGCACCGCGACTGAGGTAAGATGGGCAACCCTATCAGCACAAACCCTCTTAATGTCCATATATTTCATAACAAGCTGCTGAGGGCCATCATAACTTCCTCTGAAGCAGTGAGGGATGTTCATAGACAGTTATATAGGACAGTGACCAAAAATGAACGACCCGACATACACAGTTCATTGAGTTTACGTTCCCGTCTGGGACTCATGTCAATTTATTTCTGCATAAAATCGTGCTGCCATCAATTTGCCATTCTCTCATGTAGGGAGGACTTACTCTTCATCTAAAATTAGATTACAGTGAATTGCACTGCACCAACCTCTTTTCATCAATGTCTTGTCTTTGTTAGGAGCCAATATGACTTTTAAGAGGTGCTAGGAAATAATTCTTAGGGATTTGTGTTAGCAGCTTTCCTGAGGAATTTGTCCCTGAATAAATGCTGCTTCCAATTTTCCCCAGTAACCTTATGGTCTGTCATTATATGATTCTGACTGACAGACACTGCATGTTGAAATCAATCCTGTATGGAAATACTCAGGACATTGACCCACAAGAAGGGTTTGTGTGCAGCCAATTTGGTCCCTTTAGACCAAAGTTGTTGTTTGGAACCATGATTTTGTTAGCAAGGCTCTAAAAGCCTCTGGACTTGGTGGATAGGTCCCAGGATCAAGGGGGTGGGCCCTGGGAGGGTATCAGAGTAGGAGAGGACGAGAACTCCTTGGGAAACTGATTCTCCTCACCCCCTTTCAACCAGAGAACCACAGTTTGTGTTTCCTTTATCCTGTGCTAAGTCTCCATGAATACTTCAAGCTCCAAGTGCAGCATGAAAGGGGACAGGTTGGAACGTTCATGGAAGACCTAGCTGAGTGATTTGTAATGTCACTGTGTCTCCCTGGATGGGTAATGAAATCAGTTGATGAAATGAGCACCTAGTCCTTTCCAGCCTGCTCCGTGGAGAGCGGTCCTTATCATGCACTCACCCCACGCCTGTTCCAGTTGAGGCCGAACTTTCTATGGAGCAGATCACAGTAACTTGCTTTAGTTAAACCAACGACTTAACAAATGAAAATTCTATCCACATTCATGGCACCAGATTCAGTGCTTCTGTCAAAACCCTAAGCTGTCTTCGTGAGATCACTCCTAGTTCTCTGTTCAGCACACACACAGTCTTTGCCCTCGATATTTTTTTAACCTTTTTTGGGGGGTCATGCCTAGCAATGCACAGGGGTTACATCTGGCTCTGCACTCAAGAATTACTCCTGGCGGTGCTCAGGGGACCATATGGGATGCTGGGAATTGAACTCGGGTTGGCCATGTGCAAGGCAAATGCCCTACCTGCTGTGCTGTCACTCCAGCCCCAGTCTTTGCCCTCTTACCACACTGGCACAGGGTGGGTTCTAAGACATGGGCCAGCTTTTTCCTGAGACATTAATTCTGTCGGTGAATAGAATGTGATATCTTAAGGCAAAGCTTGGATAACAATATGATACTTTGCCTGAGTCCACTGGGAAATATTCCACACTATAAAAGATCTGTGTTCCTTTCATTTCATTGCCTTGAAAGTAGAGTTATTTATTGGAGGAAACCACCAGACTATGGGATTATTCTGTCCACCGAATAGACTTAATATCTCTAGGCTTGCACTGCAGGTTGAACCATCCAGCCTGAACAGTTTTCACTGAGTATCAAACTCATGTTTGAAAAAAATGCTTTAATATTTGACATTTCCTCATATGAGTAGGTTGTTCAATAAATGAGAAATGATACATTTTTCACATTCAACATTTATTGAGTTAATGGAAGTGCGTGAGAATATGCCTCCAAAAAGATTCTCAGAGGGAATATTTGAATGAAATCCATGTGGTTTCGCGCCCAAGCTCATTTCTCTGGGTGCCTGGGACTATTATTATAGTTCTCAATTCTCTTTCCTCTTCCTGAATGCTTCCCAAATGGAGGCTACTGTGTTTTAATGCAGTTCTGTAATCTGTACTTTGGGCGGGGGAGGAAGGCTTCCAGGGTTCTCAGCCACCAGGGCAAACAAGTTGATGGGAGGGCCCAAGGACCTACTTATGGTGGTGCCAGGGATTAGCCAGACCAGCCCTGTGGTCCTTGGGGGCCTCCAGGGCTAGACCCAGGAGACTAGAAGTTGGGGATTGAACAGGGGTTGGCCACGAGCTAGTAAGTGCCTTAATTCCTGTCTTATTGTTCCAGCCCTAGTTCATATCCTTTTAATGCAAACTCTCACAGAGTTGTGAAGGGGGTAATTAGATCAGATAAATATATGCTAAGGACACTGTTTGTTCTTTCTTCACAGTGTTTAATTGATTCCAGAGTTCTAAATTTAAGCTACTATTAATTTTTAGTCTTACAACTCTGTATGCTTTACTCTTCCATTCAATTAAGTTTATTCAAAATTCTTTAAAATTTTTTTTAAACTTCTAGTAGTGCATATGTAATGCGACATACTTGAAGGAAATGATTCTAACACCCCCCTCCTGTGTCTCTTCCCCACCTAGGTCAAGAATCTATTATTTACTATGTGATTTTTTTTGCCTTTCCATGAATGAAACTTTTGTTTCTAGAGAGAGATAGAGAGAGAGAAAAGGTGTCCTGGGTTTTCTAGTCTGGGTATTCTGTCTTTACCCCTCATACTCATCTGACTGGCATGATCTGTGCTACTCTTTGTCCCTTAAGTTTAGAATTAAAAGGTTGATTTCTTGGGAGTGGGGTGGGGTAGAAGAGTTAAAATAAAGAAGGAACCAATAAGAGAATGGTCATTGAAAATGATCACTCTGAACATTGCAAACCAGAATGTGGAGAGAGAGAGAGAGAGAGAGGAGAGAGAGAGAGAGAAAAGTGCCTAGTATAGAGGCAGGCTGGTGGGGTCTAGGTGGGCAGATGGAGAGGATGGGGGCAGGGAGACTGGGGACCATTGGTGGTGGGAAATGTACACTAGTCAAGAGACAGGTATTGGAACATTGTATGACTGAAACCCAATCATGAACAACATTGCAAACTCTGTATCTCACAGTAATTCAATTATAAAAAGGCTTATTTCTATACATTACTTTTCATCTGCAGTTTTATGTTTGAATGATCTAACTAATAAAATCCATCCACACTAATGAATCAGCCTTAATTAGCATTGGCAACAGTTTCACCTTAATAACGGCAGGAAGCTTCAGCCGCAGATATTTAGCCTCTTGCAGAGTTGATCACATGATTACTTGTCCCGGTTAGCAACTGGATCCGTGATTCCCGTCCAGACCTGCCCCTCCCCCTTTGTTTGCTCCTTTCCACTTTTTCCTTTTGCCTAACCAGGTGTTATTGGGGCTGGCTCTCATTTTGACACTCCCATTCTGAGCACCCACTTGGGCACTTCTTGTATGGAGTTTACCCTGGTAGGGACTACAGATGTTTTCCAAAACAGGTAGCTAGAAATGAAAAAAAAAAAAAACATTTCTGGAGCCAGAGATATGGACCTGAGGTAAAGTGCTCATCAAGCGTGCCCCTCACTAAGGTTTGTCACTGCCATCACCTCTGATTCCCAGAGCACCTCCAGGGGCCCTCCAGAGTGAGGAGTGGCCTCTTGTCCTTAGCTTGGCCAGCAACTATTTCCTGATTTGAATAGTTGCAGTCATGTCTCCACTTTGGACTTGTCCATCTTAATTAGCTCTTTATGCATTTTATTAAAGAACTGTGGGCTGGAGCGATAGCACAGTGGTAGGGTGTTTGCCTTGCATGCGGCTGGCCCTGCCAAGCCGGGTTCAATTCCTCTGCCCCTCTCGGAGAGCCCGGCAAGCTACCAAGAGTATCTCGCCTGCAGGGCAAAGTCTGGCAAGCTACCCGTGACATATTCGATATGCCAAATACAGTAACAACAAGTCTCACGATGGAGACGTTACTGGGCCTGCTCTAGCAAATCAATGAACAATGGGAGGATAGTGACAGTGACAGTGATTAAAGAACTGTGATTTACAAAGTTAATGATAGTTGAGTTTTAGGCATATAATATTTCAACACCAATCCCACCATCATTGTCAATTTCCCTCCACCGGTGTTCCCATATTTCCTCCCCACCCCAACCTCCAGCCCACTTCTGCATGTCAACTTGACAGGCACATTACAAAGTTTCAGTGGGTGCAGGTTAGATCTCACAGTTTCAGTGTGTTTGAGCCTGCGGTTTGGATATGTGATTTTACCCCTCACCCATATCACCTGTATAACGGAAGCCATGGTGCCTGTTCCAACGTCACTTCCCATTCCCTTCTTCCCCCTTAGATTTCCTTCCTTCTGTGTCTTTCTTTCAAAACATTGGAGCCATCTGGATCTAGGCATCCCCCTTTTACTATAGCACATTCCACCATCCACTGTTCTGTTCACCAGGGGTAAGGAGGTCATACTGTGTTTGTCTTGCTTCCTCCAGCTCTAACCCTTGAAAGATGAGATGCACTGTTGTGGAGAGGGGAGTTCCACACTGGGCAGAGTTCAGGGAATCTGCTTCTGTGTTGGCAGGATGGCTTCACGCCCCTCGCTGTGGCCCTGCAGCAAGGACACAACCAGGCAGTGGCCATCCTGTTGGAGAATGACACCAAGGGGAAAGTGAGGCTGCCGGCTCTGCACATCGCTGCCCGGAAGGATGACACCAAGTCAGCTGCACTCCTGCTCCAGAATGACCACAATGCGGATGTTCAGTCCAAGGTGAGGGGGAGGCTGGGGCTGCCACCACATTTCTTCCTGGGGTGATCTCAAAGCATGCCATGGCGGGAGAAGGTCACCAGCAGAGTTGGATTCATCACTGTCATCACTGTCATCCGTTGTTCATGGATTTACTTGAGTGGGCACCAGAAACATCTCCATTATTAATCTCAGCCCTGAGATTTTAGCAGCCTCTCCTTACTCGTCCTTGCCAATGCTGCCATATTGGAGGCTCTTTCAGGGTCAAATGAATAAGATCCATTATTGTTACTGTTTTTGGCATATCACATACGCCATGGGGAGCTTGCTAGGCTCTGCTGTACGGGCGGGATACCCTCGGTAGCTTGCCGGGCTCTCTGAGAGGGATGGAGAATGTATATAAGAGAATATAATCAAGTATGTTAAAACCAAACACATGTGCTGCTTTAGGTACATCAGTGGGCTAGACTATAAGAGGCTGTGCGGCCACGACGTCACCAGCAGAGATAGGTTACCAGCTGAAATACCTCAGGGAAGGTGTTTCAGAAAGAAGGGGACTCTCGCTTGGGTGCAATGACCAAAAAAAGAAAAAAATAGAAAGAAAGATTTCTTTCTTATTTTTAATTTATCACTCTTTATTTTTTTTAAACAATGAGGTTTCACATCTTAGTAATCTGCTTCTTGATGGCCAAAAGAATGGAAGCAGTTACACAGAGAAGGTTCCATCATGTAGTGCTCTGCTAGAAAGCATTTAAGCTTGTGCATGCCTTTGTTTTACGCCGTGTGTAATATCTCCTTCTTCCTCCCACCCAACACTGCTTCAGATGATGGTGAATAGGACAACTGAGGTACAGTATTGTGTTTATGCTAAATATTCTTTGTTTTTATTTATTTTAGTTCTTTAAAATAAAGCCTCACTAATTTTCACTACTGGTTGGAATGTCCAGGATTGGGAAATTAGTTTAGAAAGGTTTAGTCATGGAAGACAGAGGCTACTTTTCACATTGTCAGAGGCAGCATCTTTGAAACCTTCCTGAATCCTTAAAGCTGTTTGCCAAGCTTGTGATATGAACTACTTGACTGAAGACATGCTGTCCCTTTCTTGCAATGAGAGTTCTTAGATCAGGGTTCAGTGGTGTAACTCTGGGGAGAGCTGTCCTTACCACTCTTTAATCCTATACTCTCACCACAGTTTTTCTCTTTCATGTCTGTGTTTTTTTTTCCTTTACCACATGATAAAGATAATGATATCAGGCATATTATTCAATATCACATCAGATCAGTAATGATACTAAGTGTACCACAAGCAAAACATTAGCTTTTGTCTCTGTCTTAAAATGTGTCATGGAATCATCTGTTTCCCACATACCAAAAAACATCATATTAATCAACAAGAACAGAGATTGAGATAGAGAGACAGACAGACAGAGGGACAGAGAGAAACAGACACAGAGACAGAGAGAGCATATAGCTGACTCTCCTTGGCTCTGGCTACCAAGAGGTGCTAACATAAGCACTGTTGAAATGTCATGTAGGAATTAACCTGCATTCAAATAGAAACAACTGCATATGCAGTTTGTTTTTGCTTTGCCAAGGAGATTTTTATGACTAGCTTCCCATAGGGTCACTGGGCCGTGAACCTGTGCATTTGAACGCTCACAGTGTAGGTAGAGAGTAATTTTATTCTCAAATAGCTAGTTTCTTGTTTAGCAACAAATGTGCATGAAGAGATGGCTGTACTTGAATTATTTCTATCATTTCTCCTGTTCCATATCTGTGTATGGATGTAAGACAAAAATTTAAGAAAACTGATTTTTTTTGAAGGTCCACAGCTTGGTAAGATTCTTTAATACTAGACCGAAGAAAATGATACCTCAATCATTGATATCAATACCTTTGATCCCTCAGGTGCTGTTTGGGGGATGATGCTTTTGAAAGGAACTATAGGCTCCTAAATATTGTTTGAAAGCAGCACTTCTGTAGTGGAAGAATCAAGAGATACAGATATATCTTGGCTAGCACTATCTCTTGGAGAATCCTTGAGAAATAGGGGGGAAGGTGTCTTCCTCAGCACCCCTTAAACGTGGGCCCAGTCTCCCATCTTAGGGTTCATTAGGGAAGAGAGTTTCTCAGAGGGGCTCATGTGACCTCATTTCAAGATTCATTGCCTTGGGAATCTTCCTGGCTGGTCAAGGAGGCCGGGTCAGGCAATAAATCAGTTTATTTCTGCAAATGGGAAAAATAATATGATTATATTTGAATAATTTGAAAATGATTCACCAGCACTCCCCTTTGGTATTTCTAAAATGTAATTGTAACTTGAATAATAGATGTGTCCTCTGGGTGGCAGGAACCATCCAAATAAAAATAAAGCACATTTTGGTAATAACTTCCTAAAACAGAGACATTTGGCATCTCATGAAAAAACAGTAGATGCTCCTTTTGGACATGAATTTGAGCTCATGTAGGCATAAAACAAAAATACCATGACTGCAGTTGTATGGTTTAGATGGACAATTACTCTTCTTATTTTCTCTCTTGCTTTTGCGGCCAAGTTTACTGATGATACAGAATCATTTCTATTTCCTAAGTATCTGAATTTTGGGCATCAGGCAGCATTTTTAAGAATTGACAAAAAAAAAAAAGTGTCATGCCAGCAAAAAAAAAAATAAAGGTCCTGATTTAGATAACATCCCTTAAAAACAATATTAGGTACAGCCAAGTTTATTTTACATAAAAGAAGAATACAAAAGAAGCTCAAAAGCACACTATTTTATAGGAAACAGTATTTCTGTCTTCTTTTATCAAGTCATAAAAATGATAGAGAGCAAGAAAAATCTCTAATAGAAAAAGAGTTAATGTGCTTCCTTTGAAAATAGCAAGAGTTTTTAACTCAGTTTTCATCAGAAAGAGAAAAAAAAGGAAATATACCTTTTTTTCCCTTTATGATTTCAGACATCGGGGCTGGGGAGATGGCCCAGAGAGGCAGATCCCTGGGTTTAATCTAAGCCATCCCATAATCCCCCTGACCTCTCAAAAATGTATGCAATTCTTTTTAAATTCAAAGAGTAAACTATTTCTGTTGCCTGTGTAATTGATTTAAGATGCTTGGTTTGATTATCCTTTATTTCAGTTTATTGATAAAATTGGATTTGGTTAACATGCAAAATGGAATTCAGCTGAATTTTTCTTTATTTTATATTCATATCAGTGTTAAATATATTAATTTTTTTAATCTTTTGTCATAGCAACACAGTCTGACTAAATCCAATTATTAAAGAGGATAGAAATATTTGACAGTATAAATAATGTAAAATAAGTTGTATCTACATCTTCTGTTAAAGAATTTTTCATAGTATCTCATAGTTCTAAAGATACAATGCCAAATGATAACAATTTTATTTAAAAAATAGCAGTGATTTTTAATCTCTCTGGTGGAAACATCTTTCTGTTAATAATTATGTTAATTCTTTGGCTGAAATCTTATGTTGTTTAGTTATAGGTTGGTTTTTCACTAAAACCAAATCGGCTCAAGAACTATGATTGGACTTGGGGCGATAGCACAGCGGGTAGGGCATTTGCCTTGCTTGCAGCCAACCTGGGTTCGATCCCTGGCATCCCATGTGGTCCTCCAAGCACCACCAGGAGTCATTCCTGAGTGCAGAACTAGCAGTTACCCCTGAGCATTGCTGGGTGTGACCCAAAAAGCAAAAAAAAAAAAAAATTAAATAAATATAATAATAATAAGAAGGAGGAGGAGAAAAAGAAAAAGAACTGTGATTTTGTGATAAATTCCATAACATTTAAACCATTAAGGTTGTTAGAAATGATAATGCCAAAAAATGTGGGGTATTTAGCTGTGTATTTATTTACCACCTTGCCATTGTGTTACCTGGAAAAATGTGAAGTTATACTGAGCTTTTATTGGCTGAGTTGTATTGCTCCAACCCTGGGTGTACAGTTCTCATGTGACTTCACTAATCTGTGGCTGTCGTTGTGTTTTGTGTCCTTAGAGTGGCTTCACCCCTTTGCACATAGCTGCCCACTACGGAAACGTGAATGTGGCCACTCTCCTGCTGAACCGGGGTGCGGCGGTGGACTTCACAGCCAGGGTAAGCTGCAAACAGCTTCTCATTCCGGCTCGTGGGACGCGGGCATTTCACTAACATTAACATGAGCACCTGTAATGTTTTTTTTTTTACCTCTGTTTCAATTATTTTGTTTAAGCACTGTGCTTTACAAAAGCTATTAATAAGAGAGTTTTGTGCATTCAATAGTGCAACTCCAAACCTGCCACTAGTGTCAGCATCCTTTGACCCAAGTTCCCTCTAAAGTTTATTTATTTCTTCACTTGGGTCTGTGTTGAAGATGAGATTTTTTTTCTGTGTTTTCATTTAAACTGGAAGAAATCATTTCTTCCCAGCCAGTGAAAAATCAGAATGCTGTAAATTTACCTACATGCCTAGAAAGAATTTGCAATTGTTCTGGTAGATACAAATTTCCACAAAAGTAGGAGGAGTTATATATTTTGGGTTTGAGGCCACACTCAGCAGTGCTCAGGACTTACGCCTGGCTCTGCAATCAGGGATCACTCCTGGAAGGGTTGGGGGGGACTGTATGAGGTGCCAGAGATGGTAACTGAGTCAGCAAGGCAAGTGCCTATGTGTTACACTATGACTCTGGCCCCAAAGAGCAGTTATATTAAAAGATCACATGAGGAGTCATGAATGAGTGATTTCAAATCAGTAAATAATTAAAACATTCATGATTAAGTATAAAATGTGTAAGTACATGTGTACAGTAGCTCAACAATGATTGTAATATACACAATTTGACAGAAAACTTTTTTGAAAGGAATTGAGTATTGATTTGTGTTTGTGTGAAGAACTTTATTAAAAAATCACAGTCATTATATAGTTATACATTTAATAATATGATTTTTGGGAAACAATTACTTAATAATCATAAAACTCAGCCTCTTTAACGAGATTTAGTACAGTATGTGAATATTTGCAAAATTATGACATGCCAAAAGTCAGATACATATTCTTGTCATAATGGTGCTATATGATAGCCAATACAATAAACAGAATTTATATCTATGATATTTTTGTCCTTAGAAGCCTTCTACAGTGAAAATCTGTTAAGTTGTTCTTTTTTACTCTTATTCTGTAGACTGTTTTTGAGATCATTTTTCCATTGGCTCTTATTTTGTAAAGGGAGCAGTAATACCCCATGTCTTTGAGTGTTTGGATGTTTGGAAAAACTAGATAAAACTCTGAACCACAGCATATCCTAGTGGAAGCTGACATTTTGTTTCTTTTATGCAAGAGTTTTCCCTTTGTGTTGACTGTAACGTGTACATTCAATACCTATGTTGTAGCTATTGACTAACTTATGAAGTTTTGTCCCATTTTTTTCATTCTCTAACTACAGTGCTTTGTGGTTTGTGTGCTTTTTTGTTCTTTAAAAATGAAAGGTGTTGAGACCATGGAAACCTTGGATCAGATTGCCCCAAAGGTCATGACCTCCTTTGTGCCTCTTAACTCAAAGTCACCCCATCCTGCCCTGTCGTGCCCAACCTGTTTTGTTTGGTCTTTCCATGGTGTAGAATGGAATCACTCCTCTGCATGTGGCTTCCAAAAGGGGAAACACAAACATGGTGAAGCTCTTACTGGATCGTGGTGGGCAGATCGATGCCAAAACTAGGGTGAGTGTCTATGTTTCAATTTCCTACCAGTATTATTAATTATTATTATTATTATTATTAATTAGTGTTCTTTAGTAACGCTTAAAATAACAGACCTTGAAAAAGATTTGCTTTCAAGGATTTGCTTTCAAGTTACTTTCTTGGATCTGATTAAATTCTCTTACACCATTTAAGTTTCAATTAATAAAGTGAAACTAATATTTAAATTAATATTTGTTCATACATACCCAGAGAGACAGAGTGCTGGTCTCTCATGCAGAGGGTATATTTAAAATTCCATAATCATTTACTTATTTATTTGGATTCTGGGTCCACACTAGCCCCTGCTTGTTCATCAGGGGTTACTCCTGGCAGTGCTCAGGGGACCATGCAGTGCCACAGTTTAAACCCAGGCCTTTGGCACGCAGAACACATGTTCAGCTCATTGAACCATCTCTCTGGCCCTCTGGCTTACTGTGTTTTATGGGAACCAAAGAGGAAAAGTTAGGCTAAGCTCCAATTGAAATCAAATCTCTGATTTAATAGTTGTCCTTAGCAAGAGCCCAAACTCATTGGCACACAAAAGCTATGAGATTGTGGCATTTACACAAAAGAGTTTAAAATATATATTTAAAATGTTTTAATATATCTTGAAGATCTTTTGTTTCCAACTATTTAATTCCTAATGAATTTTTCTTTAAATGTTCATACTATTCTGACCTGGGCATAGGAGATGCTTTGGAAAGCGGCAGAAGGAAAAAGACATCCAGTTATTCGATTGCATGTTTTGCTTGTCACCTTGCTTAAAGTCGCTGTCCTCGGTTCGTTTCGCACTAGTTAAGTAACACGTCCTAATGAGTTTTCATGTGAGCCCAGCAAACTGACATTAGGAGTCAGGAAGCTGCAACTGTACAAAGGAAGGTCTCAGAAGACACACTGCCTGGTATCAAATCTGAGCAAGTAGGTTTCTACCACTCATGGCATGATATTGGCAGTTTTCTTCTTTTTCTGAACACAGGCTAATAATAATACCTATCTCAAAGGGCATGTAAGAATGATCTCTTGGTATTATTCATTATTATAAGTAGAGTCAATTGGGGCAAATTAATTAGCTCCTCTTAGTGTTCTGCTCTGTAATTGAAATTTTATGGAGTTACTTGCTTAAATATGCAACTAATATTTTAGTATTAGTTCTTGGAACTAGTATTAGTTCTTTGGTAACTAGATATCAGCAAAACTTTAAGCATTCCTATAATAGGAAAATTTTGAGATATATGGTGTAAGAAGTCTATGGAATCTAGAGTCTGACCTTTATCTATTTTCATTAATTCTGGGACTTGCCTATAGCCATAGCTTGAGGAATGAGGGTCCAATCTAGCTTCCTCGCAAATGCTGATGCTAGTGAATGTTTTGATTTAGGAAGCCTTATCATCTTTAAACTTCTAGAAACTAAACCCCTCCCAGGATATACATTCTGGTTTTTAATGACCTCCTGAAACATGAATGGGGGTAAGGTGGGGGTGTTATTCCAGCTTGTGCTCAGGGCACCCTGTGGATATGGGACTCAAACTAGGGGCTCCTGTATGCCAATCCCTCTTTCCCAGACCAATATTGAGCACTTGATCTCATTTCTCCAAGATATGTGGTCTAGAGCACGGTGTGATATGACTATGTGGGGAGTGATGTGCTTTGTCAAGATCTTCGTTGTGGTGTCCCATGTCTTTGCATCTGAGTTATATATAGATTTTCCCCCATTGCTTTTATCCTATGCTTTTACCCTTGCTAATGCAAATGGTGTGTACAGTTTGAAGCAATTAGGCCAGTGTTGCATGATTTGCTTACTTGTGCTTTGTATTTAAAGGAAGGGGCTTCTGTGCCTCTTCCTTTAAGTGCATTACTAATAAAATAACTCTTTACTTTTGCCTTTCTGTTTCTGTTGAGACTCTGATAAATGAGAAGACCAATGGAAAGGCAGCACTTTGTAAAAGCAAAAAAAAAAATCTTCATCTTGTTCAATGTCTTAAGGGTTCACATAACTCTTCTTAATGCTTTTCTGGAATTTTCAAGCAGGATGAGGCTATTGATTTTGTTCTTATTGATCATGGTATTTGCATGTCCTTCAAGCTTATATATATATATATATATATATATATTTGCAAATACAATTTTAAAAGTCTAACTCCAAAGAGGAAGTATATTAATTTAAAAAAATGAAGAAATGGAGAGACATTAATTCTTCTGCAAATTCTGCCATTAACTGTCATTAAGCAAGCTAATAATCAAATATTAAGTCTTGGTTTCTTTTTCTGTGAGGGGAATATTTGGACTGTGTTTCACCCATTGTAGCCTTTAGCTATGGAAATAAATAGAATTTTATTCTATAATAATCAAAGTAAAAATAGATGTTCTAAGGTATGCATGTGTAGACATCTGTTAATTTCTTACACAAAGAACTGCTAAGTTTCTCTTCAGAGACTTGAGCCTTAGAAATCCATATTAGCAGGTCAACCTAGGTCCCAAAGAGGCTCAAAGAAGATGTTAGTCAGTAGTATCTAAGAATACCACTTAGTCTGCTGGTGAAGGTTTGATACACACACACACACACACACACGCACACACCCCTCCTCTGATTTCTAGCATTCATTGATTTCAGTAGTGAAAATAATTCCATTCTTCCACCAAGGACCATTTGAATGACCATGCTATTTTGCTGTACTTCTGTCTGTCTGTCCGTCCGTCTGTCTGTCTGTCTGTCTATCTATCTATCTATCTATCTATCTATCTATCTATCTATCTATCTTCTGGATGCAGAATTGAGAAGAAATGTGAAAAAAGTTGGTTCTCACTAGTTAGGGCAGGTTCCATCACTGGGCTAGGTACAGTATTGCTGATGGTCCTTCACTTTCTTCCCATTAGGTAAAATATTTCCTTATCTTAAGAGCAAGGATTTCAAAAGCAGTCAGGTTCTTTCAATTCTGGTGATAATGTAATGGTAGTGTCCTTCTTACAAAGAGGCAAAAATCAAGTGGGTGGGAAATACGGACAGCTAGGACCAGGGTTTAGAAGTGAGAGACCAATTATGTAACAATGATGTTTGATCACTAAAAGGGACGTGGTTTAACTTTTTTTTTGTCCACAAAAAGTATTTTTTAAATGGAAAAATGTGGGCAAGAGATAGTAGAGGGTAAGGTACCTGCCTTGCATGCTGTGACCCCAGTTCAATGCCCAGCATCACATCTGTCCCCAGTTCCAGCAGGAGTGACTGTGGCCACAGAGCTAGCAGTAAGTCCTGAGCACTGTGTGTGTGGCCTAAAATCCTCTGTCCCCAATAAATAAAATGGGGAAAATGTGTTTTTTAAAAATAACTTATATTTCAGTAAAATAATAGAATTTCTACATGAAATTTTATGCTATATAAATGTCAGTCTTTATTTTTGAATTGAAAGAGCACTTTAGTTTCCCAAATAATCAAAAAAAAAAAAAGAAATCTGTAACTATTGACTTCAGTATATGTTCTATCAAGAGATGTTCTTTTATTTTTAAGTTGCTTTTTATTTAAATTTTTTTATTATCTGGAGAAACAATATTGTGTAGAACAATAAAAAGTATCTCCCCTCTCTCCCCCCAAATACTTTGTTTATCTCTGAGACATTTCGCATCTCTTTGACCTCCTCATGTTCTACGATCTAGGGTAGAAGTTCTAAGACATTTTTATCAGAGTCCTGATTTTTGGGTATCTGAAAAGCTCCATTTTCATGTTGTGGCATAAACTTTGCAGCTAGTTAAAATGATATATATATGTATATATATATATGTATATATTAGATAGCCACAAAATCTTTTAATAGAAATAGCATTGTCACTGTTCCGATTTCTTTTCTTTCTTTTTTTTTTTATTGAATCACCATGAGAACAGTCACAAAGCCTTACAGTTCAAGTCTTGATCAGTCATACAATGATCAAACACCCGTCCCTTCACCAGTGCACATTTTCCACCACCAAGAACCCCAGTATACCCCCCTCCCACCCACCCCCTGTCTGTGTGGCAGATTTTCACTTTACTGTCTCTCTCTCTACGTTGATCACATTCAATATTACAACAAAAGACCCAACATTGTTATTTGGAGTTTTCCCCAACATTCAGACCTGCCACAAAGACATAATTAGAAAATTTGTTTTCTATTGCTTATTATGAAGAGCATATGATGTCGTGTGGCCACAATAGCGGCCATGTGAATTTGGATTACTGGCATTTTAGTAATAAACCTAGAGGGATTACTGCCAGAGGCCCCTGGCTTTCGAGATTGGTATGTGTGCCTCTGGGATCATGGTTGATCAGAAGCTGGAGGAGGCGTTTGAGGGTGGCAACCTGGAGCATTGTCATGGTGGGGAGCAGGGCCGATTCCACCCCCATCCCATGAAACCCCACGTGCCTCGTCAATGTAGTCTTATACCTTGCTGTTCATTAGGCTCTAAAAGATGCAGGCCACCATGCGGCCGCCTCAAACGGGGACAGGCGAGGGACAGACACCCTTCCCCTCCCATGGCAGCATAGCACCATAGTTAAATACAAAGTCCAGATGTGTTTCAGTTGGGCATTATCTTTTGCTCAGATTTTCCTATCACTATTCAAACATGATTTTCAGGGACAAATGCTAGATCATTTGCTTTCCATTGATCACTTTGCATATCAGGAAATGTCTTACAGGGCCACGCGGTTCGGAAAAAAGTCCTGATACCCGCATGCCAGAGCCATGCTTGTAGAAACTCATGGTCACCAGGATTTCATCTGGGGAAGGCAGGGAGACAGCACCTACCCCATCTGTGACCTCCCGGTGATATCGGCTCTGGACGGGGCCCGGAGTATTCTCCGGGAGCTGTGGGGCCCTCCAGCCCACTATTCCAATTTCTTATACATGACCTGGTATGTTTCTTATTATACTCACAGATAAAGTGCATTTAAAATAAAAAAGTGAGAATAAGAAGAAAAGCAGGTAAGTGGTGAACAGAGTAAGGACTTA